TAATGAAGCTTGCAGAAAATTCTCAGCAAGAATCTAACATGTCCGGTATGTGGCTCGATTGTTGTTAAAAGTTAGACAGTACCGGTCATAGAACACTTTCAATAAATTTCTTAGCGCGTGCGACTATGCGAGGGGATCAATTAGAGTCATTTATGACTGTAACAGGTCAGAATTCAGATGAGAGAAAAGATTAGCTTGTACGAACTACGACTAAAACTTTTATTATTGGTTTATTTAGAACGGCCAATAGATGAATCACAACAAGTTTTAGTGCGTATAGCTGAATCAAATGAGGTTCCGTATGTATCCTTTGATTATAAAAAATTTTTTGTTTGCTTTTTAACCTAAACAACATTCCCTGTCTGATTTTGCCATCGTTTTTGTAGAATAGAATGGCCTGAACTTAAATACATAATAAAATCACAGCTTAGTAAGGTTTGTTATTTTTTCTGGAAGGGAGTGGGATGGAGAAGTTGTCGTTTGCAACGATTATGAGCACCAATTAACTTGCTAATTTAAAGATGCGTGAAGAAGGGACCGAAGAGACGGATGCCGTTAACGGGTTGTATTCTAAATTACTTGAAGAACGTAATAAACTACTAGAAGATATAATAAAACGATTAGACAAGTTCAATGAGTAAGAAGACCTCCGCTATGTCGCAATTTTTAAGATTTCGTTAAATCAACCTTTTTCTCGAATGATATAGGACACCATTTACCATTCAGCGGGTAGCTGAACTGATGATAAAGCCTCATGAATATTATGTAAATACAGTAAAATGGTTGCGCGGTCTAGAAAAGGTACTGCTTTAAATATCTTGACGTACTCAGTACACTATTGCCATTCATTGATAGCATTATTTTATCAGGTCTTATCCGTTCATTCCTCAACAAAAAGTTTTCCTGATGGAGGACAAGTAGAGGCAAGTCTTACGCTGTCAGAAGCAGATACTGCAGACGTTTATGGGAGTATACATGATGCAGAAGAGACAACCAGAAATGAGTCGAATGCTGACGATCAGTCAATGGACGAAGATGAGGCAGAGGCATATCTAGATGCGGTCATAAATGGCGATGAATCTGTTAACAATGATGAGGAAAATATTACCGTGCGGGCAACGGAAAATTTTTATTATGGATTGCTATCCATGGACTCTACTGATGAATGAATTCAGAGCAAATGTTGTATATTTGGAGTGAGATAATAATGTATAAATAATAATGCTTCACCCATTGTCAACAAATATACAAAGATCGAGTTTTTAATTTAAGACAAAAAGGTGTTCGTAATATTTCATAACCAACAGTATTCTGTATCTTTACAACCTTATGTTTACATTTACTAAGGTACAGTATTAACATCTTCATCGCTACCATCACTGTCTATTCCTCCATCATCAACAAGCATTCTATTTTCACTGCGTCTAACGGGATGTCCATCAAAAACATCCTCATCTTCAAAAAGATGATAATCAAAATCTTCACCACTTCCTGACCCCTCTCCTCCTACGAGACTCAATACAACCGGTAAGAGAACTAACCCGTGTAGTGCACCAGATATTACCATTGCAACATACATCCGGAAATAATAAACTTCAAATATCTTGCTTCGGGTAAATGCAAGCACAACAATACCGGCGAATTTGGTAAGAGTGATCCCAGAAAATACAGAGCTGCCAACATCTGTGATAGCACGGTGTGCACGCTCATCACGATCGATGCCAGCCCCACCAACAGCAAATGCCCTAACAATATGTACACAGAATTCTACTCCAATACCAACACAAATAACGAGATTGACAAGACTAATTGCATTCAATGTAACTCCCCAGATAGCCATAACTCCAAGAACGTCAATTACAATCATCACAACATGTCCAACTACAATCAATCCTGACCATAAACTTCCCAATAATAGAATAGTGACGATAAATATAGATATAAATGCAAGGAGGAGAATTTCTGTTGTCAGTCTGACTATATGTGCATATTGCTCAAAGAAGATATAAAATACTGAATATGGAAATACATCAACGCCAGTATAACGTTTGATATCATCACTGATCCTGTGAGCTGCATGATAGGCTGCAATATAATCACGCTGACTCTTTAGTGGCGAATGATATGTTCTAAAATGACTAGCAACGACTTTCGCAGACTCTTTATCAACCACAATAGCATCACCGTATGCTGCTTTACCGGCAAGCGGACAGCTCTCATTCGGTTGTGAATCCAACCATAGATTAAGGAATCTTATGAATTCTTCTCCTTCAGGTAACCCGGCCATCGTAATGTTCCAATTTGGTTTCCTATTAGCAAAACACACTTCACATTCGTCTTCATCATCAAATTCACCACAGAGTTCCTTCTGATCAGTTCCTTTCTTGAAACGACAGCACATATCAAGCGATGGGTTAAGCCAGTGCAAGAAATCATCGACCCATACAGCCGTCGGTTCGGCAATGTAAGAAACTCCAGCGCGTTTTCTTTCTTGTTCGAGAACATTGGCAAATGAATATGATTGACATGTACTAAATCGACCACAAAGAGCCTGTTGTCCTTCGAGAGAGGTGACATTAACGTCCTTTGCAATGAAATACACTGGCGGACCAACACCGAAATAATCATCCAAGTCATCAAAGTAGTCAACAAGATAAGAATCGCTTGGAAGCGCAATCCTTTGATCTAACCCAAGTTCAATTTTTGGTACTAGCGATAATGAAGTTAAAAAGATACCGACAAACAACACAACTACAACGACTTTCACTTTACTATTGAGCAGAACAGGAGCGTAATATTTTCTGGTCCATCTTTGTAATGTCCCTTCTCGTTCGATACGTTCGGAAACCCCTTCGATTCGCATACATGGAAAACAGTCCAAACGATCTTCCTCCTGTCTCCTTGCATCCAATGAAAGAAACGCGACAAACGCTGTCACCTGCAGGGAAAAATCTACCCAGACAGCCAGAGCGGCATATAGGGCAAAGTTCCTGACAGCTGGCATTGTAACCACTCCTCCTAATCCAAAGGCAATCGTTTCGCTCAATGCACTTAATAATATACTAGGTCCCATATACCCCAACGTCTTGGCAATTCTCTCTTCAACGCGCTCATCGCCCATTGACTTCAATGTTAGTCTTTCGAATTCATGATTAAGTATAAATATATTGTCTACACCGACGGCCAAGACTAAAAATGGTATCACCTCAGCGATAATTAGTGTCACTTTGATCCCCAGGAATGAGAATATTCCGACAGAAGTCGAGACTGATGCTAAGACAATAAAGATGCCGCATATTCCGAGAGTGAATTTAGAGTCAATTAGTAAGCGGGGGAAGGCAGACAGTTTACCAAGTGCAATTGAGGCATATAAAAACATCACAAGATAAGATATTGCTATAGTGAGGATATCCGCATTTGTTGATTTGTTGAGCTCCTTCTCAAGCGAACTCTAGAAAAAATGATATCAAACGTTAGTCCGGACGAGAAATCATATTTGCTAGCAACAAGTCTGTCCATATATCGCCTATCATTTACCTCTGTCGAGTAACTAATCCGTAAATTTGTAGTATCGATTTCTTCAATTTCACCATTAATTAATCTTTCTAAATATGCTCTCAGTGCGGCTTCCCATTCTTCGGCTTTTTGAATTTCATCATTGTTTATATAATTATTTAATACAAATGTCATCACCATAGCTTTAGCCTTTGAATATTTTCCTTTTTCAAACCCGCCAAGCACCATCTCTGCCTTTAATGGCTGTTGGAAATCGGGTAAACAGTATATTGGGTTAGCAGCGCATGAGTCCAAATCTGCATCCCATGTCTCTGGATCAACGTTTGATATGTCTGACTGCCAGTATCCTGCGACAGACTGGACGATACATGCGTCCCCGTTTGGATGAAAGCATAAATCTTGAAGCGTGTAATTATTTGGACTTGATTTAAGATGTCTGATAGTTTCTTCTATTTGAAACAGAGATTTCAGATTCTTGTAGCTGACTACTGGGTTTGAAGACACTTTGTTGCTAATAAAAATCTGCTGAGTACGGTAGAACGGGTTAAAGTTGGAATCAAAGAAATCCTTCTGTAGAGCCGAGTCTGAATTGGGCGCCACCCACAGTTTTACTGGATCTGTCTCGACATCAAACCGAGACCAACCAAGAGATGCGATAGATACAATAAGCATCGACACACAAATTGTCTGCCAGGGATACCTTGCACAGATATAGCCTTGTTGATAAAAGTAGTCTTCAAGAAGATTATTCAACCAATAACCTCTTCGACTCTGATCAATATCGATGAAATTATCTAT